TGCCCGCAGGCCATACCTTTCCCAAAATCACATTGAGTCTATTTGCCATCACTGTGCCTTTCTATGTATCTTCCAGTTGCCTACCCAGTTCTTGTCAGACACACACCAGCACTGCAAAACTGCTCTTCAAGAGAGCATTTTGCTCTGCTGGGTATAAATCTGCTTCTTCACGTGCTTGCCATCAATTTGGATGTCCAACTTCTCCATGCCTCAATGATCATCTTCGGATAGAGCACCATACAGCTAATTCTTCAGCCACACAGCCAACTAATAAATCACATCTGGCCATACTTGCAAGGGCACATGGAAGGAGAGCATGTGCTCCCTTGTGGGTATCCAGTCAAAGGAGCAATAAACAAGAAGAGCCAAACCTGACCAACACATGATGAAGGAAGTCAGGCTGAGAATGAACTCGGTCAATTGTGCTAATTGGTAAGGATGTGTGGAGCATGAAAATGCTTATTTTGCCAATCAGGACGATAAGGAAAGGGAAGGATACAAACACACAGCCCTGAAACCAGAGAAATTAGCATCAACAAACACAATAACCAGAAATAAAGCTGGTCAGTTACACTACCTGATGGGCTAGCATGCAACCTGGGACTTCGCAACTGATAGGGATGCAAACCTGTGGGTCCAGGATGCTGGAGAGAGTGGGTGCGACTGTGCTGGCTGCTGAGGGATGCGCAGGAGAAGGGGAGCAGGGAAGGACAGAGGGGAGAGACAAAAAAGGGTGTAAAAGGAGTCGGTCACATGTTAAACAGTGCTGGTCAGCACACTTCTCTGGCTGAGCCCTGCATCCCAAGGAGAAAGAGGCAGCCGAGTCACTGCCCCTGGGCCCCCAGGGCAGGCTTCAACAGCTGGGCAGGAAGATCCTGGCCCAGGGTGGCCAGAGAAGGTGGCCACACGCTTAATATCCCTTAACAATTCTGTAAGAGACATAGCCCACCACATTCCTGTTACTCTGCCAAGGTCACATGCACCCAAGGGGACCAGCATCCTCCCAGGTACCTGGCTTCTAGACCACTCCAGGCACTGTAGTGTGCTTTCTTCCTTCATACTTGTAGTATGGCCCATCCACAGATCTGTGCTATTCAATTAAGTAACTTTATTGCAGTGACAGCAGCAATGTGATTGCCCTCTGGGTACCACAAGTCTAAATCCAATCTCTCTTACTGGTATTGTTGACTTATTGCACAGTAGATCCACATCTGCAACTAAAATGGCTTCCTTTGTGTCTAAATAAAAATTTCAAAAGGCAGCTGGGCTCTGCCTCACATGGGTTACTCCGGTCACAAGTGCCGCAGACTAGAGCCTGGTCAGCGCCTCTGCCAGGAAACAGCAGCACCCAGGATCACAGGCAGGAAGGTGCCTGACTTGCACTATGAAAAGTCCATTTCCTTCCTGGTTTAGCACAGACAGCTTTCCCCCAGGAATCCCCTGCCCTCTGCAAGAGCACAGAGGAAAAGCAGCTCCCTCAGGCCAGCCCAGATCCCACTTGGCCCCCATACACAGGCATTTCTTCCTCCTGTGCACAGCACTTCATAATCCATTGCCTTTTGCATGGCTTGAGTCAGACAGCCCTTGTGTCAGGTTCACTTTGGACACAGACCCTGCTCTCTAGCTATTTTCAAGGGTGCTTCTAAGTTGATGTTATGAAACCAATGACAAACTTGAGAAGCAGCAGAACCAGTAAGTACACGTGCAGGAGTCTCAGTCAAAAAATCTTTCCAGTTTAGGAGGGACCTTAAAACTTCGCAGGCAGCTTTACCTCCACCTTAAAACTTTGTAGGCAGCTTTACCTCCACCTTAAAACTTTGTAGGCAGCTTTACCTCCACCTCACATAAGAGATCTTCTTAGTTGACTTATAAAGTAATATCACAAGGGAAGAGAGAGTATCAAAAGCCATAATAAAGCAAACCTGTATTGTCTCTTAACTACTATGCCAAAGTATTAGAATGGTTTCATGATTTGTGGTTGACAAATCACATGTTAATGCCACAAATATCAAGCATATCAGAAAAAAAACCAAACATTAGGAAAATTATAACTGGGAAATTATGGAAAGAACTTACTCAAAACATCAGTTGCAGAAGCTAAAGAGCTAAAGCTCTTCAAAAGAGTCGTGAAATACTTTATACAGAAGAATTAATTCAAAAATCTGTCTTCTCGAATACCAAATCAGAGCTTCACCTACTTGGTCATTTACCTTCTCCACTTTTGGACCTTTGAAATAGCATGCTGGTTTGGGAAGAAGCATTAACTGTCATGTCTTGGCCACAGGTCAAACTTTTCAGAAGAAAGGAGAAGGAAGAGCAGCCTTCTACAGCTACAAGCCTCTTAATTTCATTAATTCTGATTTCACACTTCCTTGTATTTTCTTTGCCTGTGAGTTGCTGCTAACAGGGTAACAAAGCTAGGCCAGCCACCAAGACTGAAGCACACTGGCACTTTTTGCCCACACGCTGACAAAGTTATCCCAGTGAAAAAGCTGTCATCCTATCTTGGACTCCTATTTTCCAGACATGCTGTACCCCATCTCTGTTAAGGCTTATAATTAATTAATAGTGAGCATATGCAACTGGCCAATGAGAAATTAATTTCTTTTCACTTAACACTGACCCATTTACAAAGGAGATCTGATCACTTCTTGTGATGCCAGCTCACGTTGAGTTTTTCAACGACACCCCCAGGTCCTTCTCCTCAGGTCTGCTCTCGAGCCATTCTACGCCCAGCCTGTATTTGTCCTGGACCTTGCACTTGGCCTTGCACACTTGCAACCTAGAAAGCCAACCGCATCCTGGGCTGCATTAAAGAAGCATGGCCAGCAGGTTGAGGTAGGTGATTCTCTCCCTCTACTCCACTCTAGTGAGACCCCACCTGGAGTACTGCATTCAGCTCTGGGATCCCCAAGATAAAGAGGAACATAGACCTATTGGAGCAAGTCCAGAGGAGGGTCATAGAGATTATCAGGGGGCTGGAGCACCTCTGCTATGAAAACAGGCTCAGAGAGTGGTGTTTGTTCAGCCTGGAGAAGAGGAGGCTGTGGGGACGCCTTATTGCAGCTTTCCAGTACCTGAAGGGAGCCTACAGGAAAGCTGGGAAGGGACTGTTTACAAGGACACATAGTGATAGGACATGGGGTAACAGTTTCAAACAGAAAGAGGGTAGGTTTAGATTAGATATTAGGGAGAAATTCTTGACTCAGAACAGCGAGAAACCGGAATGCTCAGGGAAGTTGTCGATGCCCCATCCCTGTAAGTCTTCAACACCAGGTTGGATGAGGCTTTGAAGAACTTGGTCTAGTGAAAGGTGTTCCTGGCTTCACACTGTAAGAGGGCACTTGAGAGTCTTCTGTTAGGATAGGAGAGCAAAGAAGGCAGCCTAAAAAACCCCTTCTTTTAAGCAGGTTCACCAATTGACAATGTAAACTGCTGCCGTACACAAAGAATATTTCCTTTTTGCTTTAATTGGAATAAAAACTCTTTATTTTTTTTTTTTGGGGGGGGGGGGGGAGATTATGGCATTTGGGTATGACTCCACCCATCAGATCTCCTGAAAAGCTGACTACAGAAACTCCTTGATCAGGCTAGATGCCTGCAGGGTTCCCGTGTTACCATGGCAAAGGACAGCAGATGACCACATGAGCATTTCTGTACTAGATTCTCCACTCCTCACCTCAGGAGAAATTCAATTTAGCAGCAAAGATAAAAAGGTTGCTTAAGTTTTTGAGATTAAGCATCTTTTTTTTAAGACTCAAAAAAGACTTGTCATTTTTCACCAGCAGACAGAAAGTCTGAAATCTCCAGTGAGAATCAGGAGCATTTATCAATTGGGAGAAGCGAGGAGAGACAAGACCATTTATTGTAAGAAATCTTCAACGTGAAAGAGAGGCCTTTAAAGGACATGAACTTCAAAACTCTGACATCTTAACAACAAACAGAGTTTCACCACTATTTTGAAATATGAAGTAGAATCATAGAATAGTTTTGGTTGGAAAGGACCTTTCAGATCACCAAGTCCAACCATGAAACCAGCCCTGCTAAGTCCCCCACTAGACCATGTCCCTAAGCACATCTACTCATCTTTTAAACAACTAAAGGGATGGTGACTCAGCCACTTCCCTGGTCAGTCTGTTCAGTGCTTGACAACCTTTTCAGTAAAGACATGCCCTATAATATCCAACCTAAACCTCCCCTGGCACAACTTGAGGCCATTACCTCTTGTCCTATCACTAGTTATGTGACAGACCCCCACCTCACTACAACTTCCTTTCAGGTAGCTGTAGAGGGCAATAATGTCTCCTCTCGGCCTCCTTTTCTCCAAACTAAACAACCCCAGTTCTCTCAGCCTCTCGTCATAAGACTTGTCCTCTAAACCCTTCACCAGCTTCATTCCTCTTCTCTGGACACACTCCAGTGCCTCAATGTCCTTTCTGTAGTAGAGGGGCCTTTCTGTATAGGGGCTCAAAACTGAACACAGTATTGGAGGTGTCTTAGGAAAACTGATTTCATGACCACAGTTAGTATTTAAATTTACAGAAGTTAGAAGTCAAATGCACACACTAAAAAGAAATGAACCAACTCTGAATTGTAAAATGTTAAATGTACACATATATCTACTCTAACAATTAATGAGGAAATGGTGTGACATCACCTTCTACTGGATTTTAAAGTAAAATACTAGTGCTTTGGTACAACTAAATCTTAGCTTTCCTACTTTGAAAAACTAGTGCATAGCCTGTGGAGTAAACACACAATACCTGTTGGAACTCCCCTTGACTTCAATGACTTATTCAAACAGGCTACTCTGGATGCACAACATTTCGTGATCAAGCCTTGTAAAAGAATCCCATTTTCTCAGACACGGTATGTTACACAAGTGTCATCATACTCTCCCACTCACATTCAGGTACTTGAAAACATCTCTCCCTTACACTTCCTCAAAAGCAACTTTTTTCCCAGGTGTGCAAGAACAAATTCACCATTACTGACAACACTTTTTTCTGTGGCAGAACTTTTATTTGGAGGGAAATTATAACTTTTGCATTTACATGGCACAAATTATATACAGGACACTTTCCATGATAAGAATTATGATGCTGTTCACAGAAAGGTATCAAATTTGTGATAAATAATGCATAAGCTAAAATATACAAACCAGGGGTGGAGGTGAAACTATTGGCCATTTTTATTATCTATAGAAGAATTTCAAGGAATAATGTTAATTCCATGTTCAAAAAATTTTAACAAACTTCTAGTAAAGTTAATTGAAATATTTATAATACTATTCAGTTGTTGCACAGTATTTCCAATATACAATCAATAAGATGCACAGAACACAACACTTAATATGAAAAAACCTATTGCACCCACAATTTAAAGGTTTCACTGCCCTTTGGATGCTGCACTACCATATTTATATAAACATTTACAACACTTCAGTAAACACAAAGGTTCTAAATGTAGTGCAGCATTATGGGGGGCCACTTTCAGCTCTTAAAATAAATGTTAAATGCCCATATACTGTGCCATTTATTCTAAGCTGATGGTTTAAGCTGTAATCCTTAACTCCTACTGTGAGTAGCAAACACACAGAAGATTACCATCCCTCTCACTACACACTCTGTCTTCTGAGACCTAAACTGTCCTTGGCTTCATTGTCATTTTGGCGCTTTGCCTCAGTGCTTGTGACAACTATCCCTTATTTCATTTTTTTTAATGTCCTGTTAAGTAGTCCTGTGTAGAATCTGAAGCAAAAGAATCTGCATCTTCATTATCAGAGTCATCGCTACTGTCATCAGCCGCTGGCTCTCCGGTCAGCGCTATCCGGGCATAATCATCAGTGTCTATAGACTTGCAGAAGTGAATGGCATATTTCAGTTTTTCCTCTAGTACTTGCTTACAGGAATATCTGGGCAGCTTCAGGAGAAAGAAGCAAGTGTATGACTCAGGAAGAAAGTGGTCTGGAGGATTGTATTTATCCAATACCTGTCGAAAACAAAAAGCATAATATTTCTGATTCCCTGTCCAAGCCACAAATAAATATCAGAATAACACTTGAGAATTTTTTAACAGCATGTTAGATTTGTCATTCTGATGCTGAAGTTTCTTAAAAGAATAATGAAAAGGCCAATTACACTAAGTAAATAAATAAAAACAGACATATATGAGCTTCTTTAATTATGAAGATGTGGTTGGGAACAATATAAAAAAGATTATATTACTTTACCAAATATGATTTGATGACCATGGTTCTTTAATTTAGCTGAAATGAGTACTGAGCTGAACGAAATGCTTTAGCAAAAGCAGCTGATGACTGAAAATGGAAAACTATAAAAATCCAGAGAATAAAACAACTTGGAAATGAAATGAATATTCACTTGCCCAAATCAAGAAAGAAAAATATTTATACACATTATAGTTCTCTGTTGCACTGTTGAATCTACAACGTAAGGCTGCATAAATAGTTCAATGCAACCAGCCTGTTCTCTTGTTATGTCATGCTACTACTTCTCCACTACCAGCTTTTTAAAATAAAAATCCCACACCCCATCCCGCACACCTTACCTGAATAACAAAGTCTCTCCCTCTAAAGTCTGCAATAGTCCTGGGCAACCTTGTTCTGCCCCACACAAAACGCAGGAAGAGAGATCGCTCTGTGTTTGAGAAGGACTCCATCACCTCCCAGAACCACTGTATCAAGGAAGCAGTTGGTTCAATGCCTTTATAAGTTGCTACAGATTTCAGAAGGTGAAGTGGAATATCTGGGCTTCCACATACCTGAAAATTAAAATACAGTGATAGGCTACAAAAGTCTGATAAAATAAATTACAACTGATTTGTTCCCTCCATTCCTTTAAAATATTTAACCAGCTTTTAAATCAACAGAATGAATATTCTAATATTTGAAGTGCTGTGCATAGTCTCCTATCACAATAATACTGAACATATATCTTCCATCAGGGGACAATAATGAACCTTCTTTCATATTCCTGAATCACAAAGAATTAAATATTTTACTTGGGACAAGTATCTCCAATTTACCTCCTAGGTCCTTGTTTTTTGGGGGGAAGAGATTGGCTTTTTTTGTTTGTTTCCTCCAGAAAAAATTCATTACATCACCGCTCAGCTATATCAAAATAACCTTATTAACACCAGGAGGGCAATTACACATTTTCTAGTCTTTCCTAGGACAATATGTTTGCAATCACAGAGAAAGCATTGTAAACAGGATTTAATCTGGGTTATGGATTAGTAAAATATAAGTGAAGAATCTCACTCCAAGTTAGTCTGACAGAGGTAGCAAAACAGAAATTGATACCATAGTTTCCAGTTCATATCCTGTAAAGAGCGAGAGCAGAGGAACGGGAACAACACGGGCCATCCCCTCACGAACTGCTGCAACTTGTTCATCAAACTCGTGAAGTCTGCAGAGACACATTTTCAGAGTTTCTATGAATGCCGTTTCTAGCCATTAATTCCAGCAATTACTGTAATATCAAGGAAACTTTAAGCATTCTCCTCAAGCCTCCACCTATGTACCAAGGAACCTTAATAAACATTTATCACGCAGGATACTTTACTTATACCAGTTTCTACACCAACTCATATTGCACAGCAAGGCTAGCATGGAGAGAACTCCCAGTGTTTAGGAGATTTTACTTCCAGTATTATTCATGTGCTGTGCCAGGCAAGAACAAACCAATTCCCCATTTGGAAACAACATGCTCTTGGGAGGAGAATGGCAGTGCTTTGTAGCTCTGCCCTCATGCATTCCCAGCACTAGACAGATATTAAGGTAAAAGAAAACTGGTCTGAACTAAAGCATGACATCAGAGGTCAGGAGTTGTTGTATTTCAAAACAGACACAGGTAGGTCTAACACGCTGCTGCTTCTGCTGCCACCCATGAGTTTTGCATTTTGTTTTTCCGGTCAAATAATTTCTGAGATGTTTTACAGAGCTCTCCAGAGCTGAGATCCGCATCATTGACAAGTCCTGTCCTCAGGCTTGTCATACCAAAATACACAAAGATGTCAAGACAAACTTGGTCTTAGGCATCTACTTTTTCCCATTCTATTCAGGTGCTAGCTTTTCTTTCAAGAGTTTCATATAATTAAAAAACTTAATACTTAATCTAAACATTTAAACATATCCCCCAAAGGACTTATAACTGTAAAATGAATAGCTCATGTCCTTTGAGGATAGCCAAAATAGTAAGAGAACAAAACCCTTTCTTCAAAAGAATATAACATTTTTATATAGACATATCATTTATTCATGCCAAATGAAATTCCTCTCTGCTGTCAAAAATAGGTTTAAGTATTGGTTCATAACCATTTATAGAAAAAAAAAAAACAAACAACAAAGACTGCGATTCAAGTAGTTGTTGGCAGACACTATACAAACTAATAAGTATGGAGTGTACAGTGTGATGCAGTCTTGCTCATGCACTCTCTACAGTTAGAGACTATATAGTTATAGTTATAACTATAGTTAACTATGGCAGAGAGAATAAAACAACTCTGAATCAGTTTCTCATTTGAATTATCTAAATCTCTATGTTATATAAAGGACTAGGCTCACTGCTTCACATAACAAGATCTCTACGGTTGCTTCTTAGGTTACTTGCTTCTTACTTGTCTAGGTTAGCTATCTAGGTGTTCAATTAACCAAACACCTCAAACACTGAACCAGTTTGCCAATGGTTTCTGCACAATGTTCAGTTTTTGGCACCTGTGGATGAATTTACTAGTCTGCACATACGTGTCAAGCTTCATTTTTATGATGTTCAGGTTATGCACATTTTGGTTTGTGTATTCCAACATAGATAAAAATACAGTAAGAATTCATCTGGGACTGCTCTTGACTGCAACTGATGATACGAAAAAATTTGGGAGCAGTAGTACTAACTATGAGTTAATGATCAAGCCTTTTACTTTATCACATAGGACGAACCAGATGGAAGAGGCATATCTCCACCTGTAAAACTGGCTTCCAAAACTGCTTTGTCAGGACAGCTATTAAAATCTAGAGCCATACCTGCTAGTTTATTTTGTTTCCTAAAAATTAAGTTTGATCTTTTCTCCTTTGAGAGATTAAAAGAAACCAGAAAATCAACACTGTAATCCCATGACAATATTAAAGCAGATGTACATAAGAGGTTAAAGTAGTATACTGTTCAAAAGCTTTTACATATTTTTTAAAAGAAAATGCTTAGTCATGTCAGTAATTTGAATGACTTATTCAACAAACCTGTAGTTTATTGCCAGCCTCACATATTCAGCTCTGTTATCCAGTGTAATATGGGTGTACTTGGAACTCAACTGAATATCTTGACCACTTGCATTAGGCACAGTGAATGGGAGGCTCATAGCTTCAAATTCTTCTGAAGTAGCTTCATTGTCTCGTATGTACATAAGTCCAGGAATAAAATCTTTATCAACCTTTTGAAAATAACAAGCCCAAGTTAAAGCCAGTTTACTAGCACTACATAATAGTGTCTATTATACAACAAAAGCAGTGCATCATGTGTCATCTACCAAAAGCATCATCAAATGTCTGACCACAACTGAATTTCAAAGCCATAAAATGCATTAGTATTTTACACAATATTTCCTTATGCTGGGATGTAGGAGGGTTCATGTGTTCTAGATTTCAATCCTTTTGAGGAGCATTTGCCAAGAAACTGTACTATATATAAGAAAATAGATTTAAAGCTTAAAAATGTAATCCCATCTACAAACTCCAATGCTGGTTTTGGTACCAAAGGAATCCCCTTACTGATAAGTAAATGACTCAATGCTTTTACAGTAAGTACCTTTCTACATGACATTTGAGAAGGAACTCTTCTTTGTAAGGAAGACCTAACACTTCCTCCACCTCTCCTGAGCTCAGTAAACAGAATTCGGAAGTTTGTGACGTTCAGTATGTGGGCACAAACTCTTTTCAGTAGTAGTCTGAACTAATTCTCATTTCCTTCAAAACAGTGTAGGCGTGTGCACCCAGCTACTGTATCCTGGCACAACAGACAGCTACAGCTACACAAAGGTCTTCTGGAAAGTAGGAGTTAGACCACAACATTTGTCTAGTCAAACTCATGAGAAGGTCTGAGAATGGTCTAGAATTCAAAGAGCTTATTTAACTACTTTTGAATGACTGAAATTTACAGTTCTAAAAGTGAGTACAAGTCATCCTTATACACTGGCTCTAAAGGCCAGTCAAAATATAAGTATACAGAAATCAGCCAATAGAAGCCAACCACTGGAGAAAACTTTATGCTAGAGTCTGCTTGTCTTCTGTTACTTCCATCCCACTCAGAAACTTTACAGGCTTGGAGACGAGTGGCTGGAAAGCT